ATTTTGGTCCGAAAATCTAGGGAGACAAGCAATATTGAAGTTTTTATTGATATTTAAGAAGTTTTTCGAGATCCATCAAAGCTTCTGATAGGTATCGCATTTACAAATCACCTTTGTTCAAGGATATTCCATGAAAATCGCTGAAAAATCAGAAAAAAACGAAAAAAGTCAAAATTGATAAACATCAAAAATTCTGCTCGTGTATTGATTTTTTCGGTAGGAAAAAATGATCCGATCGAGTTGAAATTTTTACCTGGTACTTACCTCACTAGTACCTATAACATATAAAAACATCAGCGAAATCTGAGCGGTCGAACTTTCACGATCATCTGGATTTCTCAGAGACGTACTCTTAAGCAAGGAACTATAAAATAGTAAGAGAAGAAAACAGTGTACTATATATTTAGATTGGGTTAATGGTGACATGGTAAAGAAGGCTGTAATGCCGATGACTAGAGAAGTTGAATTCTAGTTCATATCGCTATCAGATTAGACCAAATAGATACACAATATTTATTCTTTTTCTCTTATTTTATGCTCTTTTTATAACCAATTTTTATGTGAGTACAAAAAGCTTTTCTTCAAAGACAAGACATTATAAATAATGAATAAATTATTAATTTAAATATATTGTAGAAAAGTATTCAACCATGTTTAAATTACCAATAATCCTTCTGTTAACACAATAATCTACTAACAAAAGTTGATAGTTATATCTGAGTATTATTAAAACTCCGTGCTAATGGAGACAGTCGATTTAAGAGATTTATGAGAAATTAAACTTATTTTAATCGAATAGATCATGTAAAAAATCATGCATGTATAACTTGATACTAGAATTCAACTATTCAAGGGGATATAGGGAGTGTTAGAACGGGGTGGTACAGGAAGAGGTGTAGGGAGTATAGAAAGAGTGTGGATGCCTATTGAATAGTTGAATTCAAGTTTCATGTTTGAAACTGCTGAACAACGTCAAATATTATTTTTTCTTATTTAACGCAAAGAATACAAGACTATTTATTCATTCCAAGCAAATATTCATGAAAGATCGTCACATTTTTACCATAGGTTTCCCTCACAACAAAATTTTTCGATCATTTTGAGTCCGGCTCACGGGGTTTTCGGAATTAGCAATTGGTTTCAGCGTCTTTAGAAGATCTTTCAATAAAAGTCTCAAAACTACAGCATCTAAATACGATAAAATGAGCCATTGATGATAACAACTCGTTAAAAATCTATTATCTCTGCATTTGGTCAGTTAGAAATTATTTAAATACTCTAAATAGTATTTTTGTACATTATGATTTACTTTAATGCATATTTTCCATTAAGTATTTAACTAACTATTACTTTCTCAAATAAACATGGCAAATTGTATACAATCATACCTTCATTCATAATATTCTTTGATCGATGAATTATTGCTAATTCCATTTCTTCCGCTTCCTCAGGAAGAATAAGAGAAACTTTGTTAATCGATGAGTTCATATCACTCACAGGCATGTTGCTTGGTTTTGTTTGAAACAATTGTTCTAACATATATTGAAATCTTTGAGCTATTTTTAAAATAGTTGATTTTTCAAATAGATCATATGAACAAAATAACCAACATGATAATCTTTTGTTATCTGATAATGGATTGTAGACAAATGTTAGTGAAAAGTCAAATTTAGCCATTTCAGCTATTCCTTCTAATGATACTTGCTTTAAAATTGCATCATTCAAATATAAATGTTCTACGTCATTTGATATAGTGATAAAATCAAACATTATCTCAAGAAATGAAACATTCGATTGATTTAACTGATTATCACCCAGCATAAGCTGTAATGGATAATGAGAATGTTCAAAAATTGATAAGCATTTCTCTCGTACATATTTAACTACTTCAACAAATGACCAATGCGGATCAAGTTCAACACGATATGGTAATGTTGATACAAACATTCCTATCATATTTACTAATTCACTTCGATATCGATTAGCATTGATAGAAGAAATACATAAATCAGTTTCACCATGAGTTAGTTTGAATAGAAAGACATAAAATATGGATAATCCAAGTTGAAAGAGTGTGAGATGATGTGATGATGCATAGTTTAGACATAATGCACATATTTCATCATCAAAAGTGATTTGAGCTGAAGAAGCTAAACTTGATCGTTGTTGATTAGTTGATGCACGATGTCGATCAGCAGGTAATGATAATTGTCGAAGAAGATTGTATCCTTTGAGTTCTAACAACCAAAAATCTTGAGATAATGTCACATCCATTATGTGTTCATGAATAGAATAGTCAATATATTGGAATGAATTATCATCTATAAGAAGCAGATCATTCGATTGATAAGCAAGAGTTAGATCACGAATAAAGATTGATGTTGATGCTCCATCAAACATTGCATGATGAATAGTAAACATTATGATATCATCTTTAGTAAGTAGATCATCATTGTAAGACATTGAATGATTTGATTGTTGATGACGAAGAATATGACAATTAATCACATGTCCTATTGATAAATCAAACAAATCAGATTGATTTAAAATCTTCACTATTTCATTCTGTTCATGTTCTTGATCAAGAAGATTAATTATTGAAAATCTAGATGATTTCTTATCACTGATAATAGCATTTGCATCTAAAGAATGTTGTATAATAGTACCATTTGTATCAAGAGAAAGTGCTGTTCGAAGAATTTGATGTCTTTTTATGATAGATTGAAATGCATGTTGTACTCGTGAAATAGATATATGATCATTCATAGATGAAATACGATAAATTAATGGGATAAGATACATGTTATTAGTATTATTATGTGTGGATGAGAAACGAATTTGTTCATCTAAGAAAATGCGTTCTTGAGGAAATGATGCTCTAGCTAGAATAGAGAAATAGAATGTAGTTAATGGAATATTGTTGAATATCCTGTGTTACCTTTCATAATATGTAATGAAGACCAATGATATTCATTGACATTCTTTGTCAGATGCATAGTTCGACTAATGAGTTGAGCATGATCTGTAATTGTTGGATGTTGAAATAGATCAGTAATAGAAAGAGTATTTGGTTCAAGATGAAATTGGGTTTTGTATTGATGGAAGAGTTGCATAATGAGAAGTGAGTGACCACCAAGAGTGAAGATATTTTTGTTAGTTGAGATTTGATTTTGTTTTAATAGATCGCACCAAATATGATGAATAATGATTTCAGTTTCATTAATTGGTAGCAATAATTCATCGTGATCAGTGAGATGTATTGATGACAAATTTGGTGGTGGAAGAAGTTTTCGATCTATTTTACCATTTGCATTTAATGGTAGCTTATCAAGTATAACAAAACAAGATGGAATCATATGAAGTGGTAAGTGTGATTGGCAATGTTCTCGTAATACTTTCTCACCAATATTGAAACTTTGAACATAAGCAACTAAATGATCATCTTTCCATTTCATCACAACACAAGCAGATACGGATGTGATATTAAGAAAACATCGTTCGATTTCACCAAGTTCAATTCTTTGTCCATGTAGTTTGATTTGATGATCTTTTCTTCCTTGATAATGAAGAAGACCATTGTTATCTATTGTAACAAGATCACCTGTTCGATAGAATAGGTGCCCATCTATTTCAAGAAGAGCTTTTGCAGTTAAATCATCACGTTCCAGATAACCAGCAAACACACCCACTCCTCCTACAAACAGTTCACCTTCTCCAGTGGTAGTAGATGATTGTAAATATTGATTCATAATCATACATCGATAATTTGAAAGCGGTCTACCAACTGGAATGCTCTGTGCATCATTTCCGACGTGCACGCAATGAACTGTACAATCTATGGTTGCTTCTGCTGGTCCATACACATTCCATACTGTACAGTTCGTTATACCGATTTCCATTATCAAGTCAATCAAATGAATAGAAAAAGCCTCACCTACAACAGCAAAAATACATGTGATAAACGGACGAAATTGCTTTAAAAATCACTCACCACCACCACAAAGCGATCGAAGATATTTTACAGCCTTCATGTTCTTGTTCTGTTGAATAGAAGTGAAAAATATGTGTAGTATACTTGGTACAGCTGTTATATATGTAATTTGTTTGTTTTCAAAGACTTTGGCTAAATAATCGAAATCAATATTTCCACCTTGATGAAGCATAACCAATGTGCCTCCAGCTAACAATGTACCTAGTATTTCTTGGACATGAATATCAAATGAGCAACGAGCTATTTGTATAACTGTATCATTTTTATTAAATAAGTTAATGTAAATGAAAGAGTGGATACAGTCGATAAAGTTCTTATGTCGAACTTGAACCTATGAAACAGCATGAAAATCAATCAAAAAACGTAAAATCAAGTGACAACGAACCGCTTTGGGTGTACCAGTTGAACCACTAGTGAAAATAATGTAAGCTATCTCTTTGCCCTTCACTTTCACACTCGAAAAGCAATTATTATTCACCTTATTATCCATATTACTAATATTTAATATTGAATCAATATCAAGCACAACAATATTAAGATAGAATTTGACCTTGGTTAAATGATGAAGAAGAACAAGACGACTTTGAGTTTGTTGTGTAAGTGCATATAAACGATGTTGTGGATCTCGAGGTGACAACGGACAATAAACACCACCAGCCATTTCAATTCCCATAATACCAATTACCTAGTAAGAACTCGGTCTCAAACTCACATTAATTGTTACTTATCTTAATCAACTTACCATTGACAAACTTCGCTCGACACATTGACACACAACTTCACCTGG